AGGCAACTGCCGAGATCAATACCTTGCTACCAACGTCTATCGTATCTGCAACTACGGGCACAGAGACAAGTTCCTCATCTTTTGAGTTGAGCAGCTCATCAGGAGTTTTATCTGCATCAAGCTTGACTGTCACGTCTGATCCGTTATCGTCCATCACCAGCAGCACATCCTCGTCAGCTGCAGACTCTTCAGGTGTCCTGAGCAGTGAGGGTTCTGATTCCATTGGTTCGAGTTCAAGCGTTGCCGTCGATCTGAATACGCTACCTTCTCCAACTAGCCTCCCAACAAGTGAGGGTAACAATTCCTCGACCTCCAACGGAGCAAATGCATCGACGCCAACCCCAACATCGACCTTGTCGCAGTCAAATCCAGGCAGTCCAACGCTAGATAGCACAACCACTACGTCTGAGGGCTCTTTGAGTTACGTTTCGTCTTCTAGTGTGACAGTTGATCCTAACAGTCTGCTGTTTACATCCTCAAGCTCATCTACAGAGCAAGGCTCGAGTTCCACGGATATACTTGGATCGTCCTCTTCAATTCCACAGTCGTCTGCGAAAGTAAATTCATCTACAACTTTGGACACTTTGGACACTTCTTCTGGCTCTTCCACCAGTTCCAGTACCATTACTACGACTTCCGTCGGTTCAACATCAGACGTTGCCTCCTCCTCTTCAGAGGTTTCCAGCACTATTGCCGCTTCGCCCAGCCTTACAATCAAGCCGGATAGCCTACTGCCAACCTCGCAGAGCACTTTGACTGAAAGTGCATCAAGCACCTTTGAGAGCTTCTTGCTGTCATCTTCAGTTTCTACGGCTACGTCTACTATCAGCTCCACCGAATCTTATTCTTCTTCTTCAATAATAACCAGCATTTCAGTCACTGATTCAACTTCAGTGAGCTCGCAAGCAAGCTCTGAAGAAATTACAATCATACCAACACTTTCCTCCACTAGCACATCCACAAGTAGCTCTGAGTCTTCTGCTTTCACGGTCGACTCCGCAACTCTACTTTTAAGTTCGACAACTTCAAGCTCTTCAGAGAGTGATTACCTATCGCCATCGAGCTCTATCGTTAGTTTCACCGAATCTTCCGTATCCTCACCAATCGACACTTCTGCTGTCATAACAACTTCTTCAACTCCCCAATCAAGCTCCGATGAAGCCGCATCCGTAACATCTATATCCTCATTCGTTACCACAACTACGTCTCCATCCTCATCTCCAACCATTGACCCCGCTAGTCTTGTCTCGACGTTCACAGAATTGCCAACTACTGATTTGACGTCTTCTCTTTCCTCGTCAATTTCGGATCGAAGCTCTTCATCCGAATCCAGTTCCGAAAGCTCAGTCGAGGCCGCGTCTAGCTTTTCACTTTCCTCATCATCAACCTCGATCGGGCTGTCTCTATCTTCGAGCCTCCCATCGATTGATCCAGCGAGTTTGGTTTCAAGTTCGGAATCATTTTCCTCGAGCTTATCAACGTCCTTCGTCAGCTCAACCGCCGGGATCACAATCACAATTTCAAGCTCGACTTTACTCTCATCTTCTGCTTCTTTCACTCCCGCGTCCTCCAGTGCGACAATCAATGCAGAAACCTCAACTACTCTGTCCGAGTCATCGTCGGCGAGCACTACAAGCACTCCTTTGCCAACATCTTCGTCGTCGCCGACCTCCACGACTGCACCAGAAGTCACTCCGTCGACCTCATCTGATTTGTCAGTCAGCTCGTTTACCTCGTCAGCATCCTCAAGCCCAACGGTTGATCAAGCAACGCTACTGCCCACTTCGGAGCCATCATCGATCAGCACGTCTACAGATCCAAGCAATCTATCTTCGTCTTCGATCGCGCCGGATGCGACTTCGTCAAGCTCATCTGACTCGACGTCCATTTCAATTACTTCATCTACGTCTTCGAGTTCAACAGCCGGTCAAGATACGTTGCTTCCTACATCAGAGTCTTCGTCGATGAGTACTTCGATCTTCTCCTCATCGTCATTAGCTTCCTCTACGCTTTCATCCAGCTCCGCCTCCGAGCCTTCTGATACTCCATCCGTTACATATGTTTACACCACCATTTTCCTGACAGCTTCAGACTCACCAGACTCAACTATCATTGCTTCAATCAGTCCGAGCGGTACTCAAGCTGGCACTATAGTCATCGGAAGACGAGCACAATTTGTTACTGTCACTCGCCCATACAGTGGGACCAATACTCTAAGCGACGGTGCAACTACTGTCAGCATCGTGCAACCGCAAGATGAGCAGCCAGGCACAGTCTACGTTGAGACGACTCCGACTGCGCTACCTTCGACTTCCAGGTCAACATCCACTGACCTCTCGCCAGGGTTGTCGAGCTCGATACTCTCAAGCTCTTCGACCTTCGAGCCACTCCCAAGTACATCGTCTACTGGCGCCAGCGCCACTTCTACAAGTACGACTGATGCTGTCGAGCCGAACACTTTGCTATCAAGCACGAGTGCCGCTTCGACGAGCTCGTCTTCTAGTTCAGACTCGCCCCCGTCGTCCTCAACTTCTCAGCCATCGTCGACTTCAGCTAGCACTTCTGAGTCGACTGGTAGTGTGTCTTCCATCTCGGTTTCGAGCACACCTTCCAGTTTCAGCTCAAGTAGCCCCTCAGAACCATCTTCCAGCATTGCCAGTTTCACATCGTCAACTACAGCCAATACAGCGGAAGATAATACCTTGCTCCCGACCACGAGTGCGTCCTCAACGAGCGCCTCATCTAGCTCAGAGCTCCTTTCATCAGGTTCAACATCACTGTCTTCGTCTGAATCGACAGTAATATCTTCGTCGACCTCAAGCAGTGGCTCCAGCCAACTCTTCCAGAGCAGCTCGAGTGACCTTTCAAGTGCCTCTTCTACTGTTACCTCATCCACATCGAGTCTGAGTGTCGATCCCGCATCTTTGTTGTCGACATCATTGACTCCATCGTCGTCATCAACCACAAGCACAACTGAGTTATCTAGTTCAAGCTCCGTCGGTTCTTCCAGCACTTTCGTGACCGCAAGCGTCGCAAGCACATCCTCGACCTCCTCTCTGGGCAGCTCCGCGTCGTCAAGCACCACAGTCAATCAGGCCACCTTACTGCCGCCCACCACTAGCGCTTCTTCGACATCAACTTCGGGATCAACTACCAGCTCGGCCGCATTCGCTTCTTTGGATTCTTCCAGTGCGAGTCAAAGTTCAAGCTCCTCAGCTATAACCATCGTCTCGCCAACATCCACGTCTTCAAGCATTACAGCTGACCAGGCTACCTTGCTAACGGCTACCTCAAGTGGTTCTTCGACGTCAACTTTGAGCTCAAGTACTAGCTTGGATGTGACCTCGTTGATTTCTCCCTCAAGTCTCTTCAGCACAACTCAGAGCTCATCAGCGACCGCAAACACATCATCGACGCAGATCACATCCAGCCTCTTATCAAGCGATTCTTCCTCCACAACCCCGACCCCAAATGCTGCTACGTTGCTTCCAACATCAACTAGCACCTCGCCAGGCCAGAGCTTAAGTTCCTCTAGCTCGATTTTGGCTTCTCCCACAATATCGATCAGTAGCCCTGTTCCCCAATCAACATCATCTCCAAGCGGCCTTTTCGGCAGCTCCTCGTCGACTGACTTATCGTCACCCATCCCGTCATCTACTAGCTCTACTTCTTCCAGCGTGTCTGTCAACCCCGCCACATTAGTACCTACGGCTTCTAGCGCTTCGACGAGCAGCTCTCAAAGCACTTCATCATCAGTAGGCACCTCCTCTAGTCCTGCCTCATCTGCATCTACGTCCAGCAGTATTTCAACGCCACCCAGCAGCTCCTCGTCAATCACCTCAAGTACATTATCGTCAGCCAGCCCAACGGCGAACGCCGCCACGCTGCTTACCACAAGCAGTAGTACAACAGGGCCCTCTTCGAACAGTTACAGTAGCAGTTCTTCTCCATCTTCTAGCTCTGCAATCAGCTCAAGCTCCCCTTCCAGCGGTCCTGCGTCTAGCAGTAGCTCGCTCAGCAGCTTTGCATCTGATAGTCCAACTGCCAATGCCGCCACACTGCTCCCGACGACAAGCAGCGCAGCAGGGTCACCTTCAAGCACGTCGGCCAACAGCCCGTCGTCGTCCTCGATTCCAACGTCCAATGTGGACTCCACTATCAGTAGTACGGTACCCAGTGCTACTTCATCCATCAGCGCAACAGTCAATCCATCTACTTTACTGTCATCAAGCACCAGTTCAACAGTGGCACCTTCCAGCAGCTCCGCAAGCAGCTCTCCATCCTCTTCAAGCTCGTCGGCGAGCTCATCTACAGGCGTCTCTACTAGCAGTAGTACAATTACGACTAGTAGTCTCTCTAGCACGTCTTCTTCTCCTTCTTCGTCTTCTTCATCCAGCCCAACAGTCAATGCAGCCACGCTCCTGCCAATAACCAGCAGCGCTTCTACGAGCAGTCTTTCAACAGTCTCATCTTCATCTTCTAGAGCAACCACAAGCTCCTCACCAAGTGCAACGAGTAGCTCTTCCGTAGGAACTACATCGTCTTCGTCTAGTTCATCGAGTCCGACGGTTAACGCGGCTACTTTGATATCCACCTCCACCATCGGGACTCCGACGAGCAGTGTTTCCGTCATCAGCTCGTCGTCAAGTACTACAGCAAGCTCTTTAAGTTCAGCTCCTACCAGCAGCCTCAATCCTACGAGTACGAGCAGGTTCTCGAGCAGCTCATCAACAGGCACTTCGTCTTCTTCAAGCCCGACGGCTGAAGCAGCCTCATTGGTTCCCACTACTAGCAGTTCGTCTACAAGAAGTAGCTCTTCCACCAGCTCAACATCTCCCACCTCTGCCAGCTCTTCGATCTCGGTATCAATTAGCAGTGGCACTACTAGCAGTGGCACTACTACCAGCCCATCATTTAGTAACTCTGCTCTCAGCTCGTCTGCCACTTCTTCGAGTGTGACAGTTAACGCAGCTACCCTGTTGTCTACAACAAGCTCCACAATGAGCACCTCGACAAGCGTCTCGACGACCAGAAGCTCGATATCTATCACGGCGTCTCTAAGCAGCTCTTCAAGCAGCTTTTCGAGTAGTTCTTGGAGTAGTTCTACTGCTTCACCCACGGCGAACCAAGCAAGCCTAGTCTCCACAACAAGCAGCACAGGCAGCAGCAGCACTAGCGGAACGAGTGGCAGTGCTTCCACGACTAGTAGTAGTAGCTCGAGCAGCATCCCATCAGGTACCTCATCCTCGAGCGTCACTGTCAACGCCGCGAGCTTGGCGTCAACTACAAGTTCATCAACATCGACCACGAGAACATCAACGTCGTCGTCATTCTCTTCGAGCTCTGGCAGCTCTTCCTCGAGCACAGCAGTGGCCTCGTCATCTTCTACATCGTCTACAAGCACTTCTCCGAGTTTCTCTTCAAGCTCCTCCGTCAGCGCTGCGCTCAACACATTGTTAACTTCGTCGAGCGCCTCCACGTTCTCGACCTTGACAAGATCGTCGTCTTCTTCGACGACTTCATCTACGCCCAGCAGTGTCAGTCTTCAGGCAAACACGCTTGCGTCAACCAGCTCGAGCTCAAGCAGTACATCCACATCGGCGACCACAACAAGCACACCAGGCTCGGCTTCATCGTCCACCGCACCGACCTCATCCTCATCCTCACGGGCTAGTAGTACCTCCTCTTCAAGCTCGTCTTCTACCCGAAGTACTACATCAACAAGCAGCTCTTCCAGCTCGAGCAGCAGTAGCACGAGCACCTCGTCGTCCTCATCCAGAGTCGTCGCCTCAGCCACACAAGGCCCCGCGTTCTCGTGTCCCACAACCGGCTTCCTGATTCAATCCCTGACCCTGTTTTCACTGAACCTGGCTACCGGAGAGCGAACCCAAATCGCCGACAACATAGGCGGAGACTCAACGCGCAACATCAACGCCTTGGGCTATAACGCAAGAGAGGACTACCTCTACGGTATCTCCCAGAACGAGGCTGCCACCGACTTCAAGATCATCCGCATCCTGGCCAACGGCACGGGTACGTATGTTGCTACGGTCAGCAAGCTCACAACCGGCCTGTTCAACTCGGGCGACATCGACGAGAACGGCCAGTACTGGATCTCCACTGGTGGTGCCGACTTCTATCAGTACAACTTCGCTCCTGGCACCGCAAATTACGGAGGTCTCGTCACTAGTGGCAAGCTCACCGGCACCGGTGGATACACAATCGGTGACTGGACTGTCGTGCCTGGCGTCGGAGGCGGAGATCTATGGTCCGTCGGCGTGAGCAATCAAGTTGCTTACCTGTTGCGGTGGAGCCGGACCTCCCACGCATTCACAGTGGTTCGCAACTTGGGCAACCTCACAGGAGCAACCGGGACTACGGTGCCTTTCTGGGGTGCTAGCTACGCAACCACAGATGGCTACCTCTTTGCGGTGGAAAATGGCAGTGGGCAGATTTGGCGTATTGCCGTTGATGGCTCTTCAAACCCTCTAAGGTTGAAGGATGCACCAGTCAGCAGTCGAAACGATGGTGCCAGATGTCTTGATTCCGGTGCCATTGTTGTTAGTGGCTAAGCATGGCCTGATGTGTCCCTGGATCGTTTATTTCTTCTTTGTTTTTGCGATGCATTTTTAAATACTCAAATTAATCTCGTGTCAGCGTTTATTTGTTCCTCCGCGTTTGATAACAAAAAATGTTAATTCTTAAAGACGAATCAAAATACAGAATTAATAAACAATGTTAAATATGCTGAACGAACTATCTTAAATGAGGCCGCTTAAGACTGCCAGCTCCTAAAAGTCGATCTGTGCTTTCTTGAAGGTTCCATTACCACAGCGCACCTATGGTACAAATAAGACCTTGTTGTCGGCAGAAAGAGCTGAAGCAACCAAGCCACCTGTAGTCACACAAGGTGCCAAATTGAGCGAGCTGGCTCCCAGAAACCAAAATGGCATCGACGTTCCCCAGCCGTGGCGAAGACTAAGCTGTTTCACTTAGAAGCCCTAGGCCGGTGCTAGCAGGAGGCAAATAGGGATCTTGCAATATTACCAGGCATCATCGCCTTGCACATATACTTATTTGTATACGCACGAAAGGGGATTTCAAGACGGACGGACGGTTCCTGTGATGAAGTAAAATGACTACACGTAATTTGAGAGCCCAAAACTGTGGCTAGCCGCAACCCCGGCATATACTTTTTGACTCAAGATACTCATTGTTGGGAGTATACGAGTCGACGAGTTAGCCCTTTAACATGAGCTCTCAAAAATTGACGTCCAAGAGGGGGCTTTCATAAAGAAGATCTAGCTCCAAGGTTCTAGGTTGTAGGGTAGGCAAGCAACCTGTGTTGTCGCGAACCATAGTGATCAGTGCAAAGGGCTGCGTACAAGCTGCAAGTAATAAATCCCCAGATTCGCTATCCCGCATGGCTGATATAGACTTTAGGGTCATATCACAGACCAACGTCAGTTATTAAGCTTCAACTTGGGTGCGGTGGCCTTGAAGTTTCCCAAAGTTCCACCGAGTCAAGACCCATGCTAATTTTGGCACCAATTTGGCACTAGATGATCGTATTCTATCAGTAGTTACTCATCACAGGGATCGCAAGGGATCCCAGCCCGCCTTAAATTGCTTAAAATGCATCTCCAAGCCAACTAAAAAACTGTGAAAAAATGACGCTTTACGCTGTAAATCAGGCTTGGCTGACATCCACGGTCGCTATGAACTCTGACGTCGCTGGTTCCGCACAACAACTTGGTTTTTTCTCAGCCCTCCCCCATCCTCAGTATTCTGGCCCGTTGGTTAAGAGTCAGTCATACCAACAAAAAATTATATCACACCGGGATTACCGGATGTCACGCCATATATAGCATTGTTTGCCTATGCCCTCTCCACTGCGAAAATCGCCAAGATGCCAAAAGAGGAGGAAAAAAGGGGGTTCGCCGTTCAAATTGGGTAGGACCCGGAGGAGACTTACATGGGGTCTCCACCGCGGATTGACCGTTACACTGCCGCAAGCCGAGGCTCAGGACGAGAGAATGAAGAACTACATAGTCAGCGGGGGTTCCTCGCTCGTTTTTTAGTTTCCCTTTCGTTTCTCCAGTGCCATCGCCGAGAGCATACACATTCGTTTTCGACATTCGTTCTTTTTGCTGATTCCGGAGTCAAGATGAGCGCTGTCACCAAGTTTGGGTTCGAGTTCCAGACTGCCACTATCAATGGCGTCGAGTACAACTACATCCACGCCGAGCCTGCGGGCAAGGTGGTAGGCACAATCTTCCTCATCCACGGGTGGCCCGATATGTCCCTAGGATGGCGCAACCAGATTCCTTACCTCCTGTCCAAGGGCCTTCGGGTCATCGCTCCGGACATGATGGGTTACGGAGGCACTGATGCTCCCGCCGACGTCAACTACTAGTAAGTCTCTTACACCCAATACCTCACCACAACGAAGAAAGCTTGGCAAAGACTGACCAACGCAATCAGCACATTCAAGCGTGCCTCAGATGATATCGCCGCCCTCGCCAGCCACCTCGGCCTCTCGCGCATCATCCTTGGCGGCCACGACTGGGGCGGAGCGGTCGTCTACCGCGCTGCCCTCTGGCACCCGGAGCTGATCTCGGCCTTCTTCGTCATCAGCACCCCCTTCGCACCGCCGCGTCTGGCCTACGTCGACCAGGCCACCGCGCTGCCCACCCTGCACTACCAGCTGCAGTTCCGCACCGACGCCGTCCAGGACTACATTGGCCTCGGCGACGTCCAAAACGCCACCCGCGTCCGCCAGATCCTCAACACAATCTACGGCGTCAGGCTGCCCAGCGGCGCATCCGCCTTCAACTCCAGCGGCGCCGGATTCGACTTTGACCTCCTCGACGGCGTGACGACGGACACGCCGCTGCTCAGCGAGGAGGAGCTCGACTACTACGTGGAGAACTACGCCGGTAGCGACCCCTTTAACAGGACGCTCAACTGGTACCGCACCGGCGAGCTCAACTGGCAGGACGAGCTTGCGCTAATCCCCAGCAACGCTACCGCGTACACGGCCAAGTACTCGCAGCCTGCGCTGTACATCGGCGGTTCGCTCGACTCGGCGCTGCCTCCCATCTTGTCGACGGGTATGGAGACGTACTTCGACAGCTTGTCAAGAGGCGAGGTGAACGGTACGCATTGGGTCATGTGGGAGAAGCCCGAGGATGTGAACGGTTATGTTGGCAACTGGCTGAGTAGCTCAGTATTGGGCAACCTGAGTCTCGGTGTCAATGTCACGGCTGGGAGCGCTCTGGCTTTGCTGTGATCGGTGACATGTCGGTGGAGGAGGGTCTTGCCTGGGAGTCGCATGGCAAGGACAACGATGCGTATGACTATGAAAATCAGTATATAATAGAAGAATATTACCATTGTACAATTGAAATTTCACAACGTGCCGCTGTGATAGTTGAACGCAATCAATCGATCGATTTCGTGTCTTGAAGTCGTCAACACTGCAAGAAAAAGTATGGTGGGGTGAGAGATACGCGATGATGCAGCTGCAGGAAGGGACCATCCGTTCACTGCAGCCCGGGCAGGGCCTGGAACTGGAACGCTGGCAGCGCTACCTAGGTACTTACCTTACCTTAGTTGAACCCCACCGGAGCCACTGACGCCGACCTCCGACTCCACTCAAAATTTCCAGCTCTCACTTCATCCCACCTCAGACAAGTCCAAGGCCACCCTCTAGGTCGTTTGCGCTTCAATTGAGAGGATTCTCTGCTTTTTCGTTGTTCCGACAAACATCACGACAATGGCTACCTCTAAGGGCCTCCCTCGCGATACATTCGCCAAGCTGTCGCCTCACCCCTTCCTCCTCGCAAACCTTCAGCCTCCCGCGCCCGCCAACGCTGCCAGAAGCAACGGCCGCGCACCCAACGAAGCCCGAATCCCCAATGTCAACGCCTCCAGCTTGACCCATGCCAATGGAAGCGCCGTTGTGCGGACGGGTGATACAACCGTCATCTGCGGTGTTCGCGCCGAAACACTTCTCGCCTCCGACATCCCCAACTTCCGCACCGCTGCGAATCTCGACGATGAAAACGGCAAGCCCAGCTCGGAGCTGAAGGACTACGACTTGCTCGTGCCTAACATCGAGCTCGCCACCGGCTGCGCACCGCAGTTTCTCCCCGGCGTACCACCCACAACACTGGCGCAGACCCTGAGCACGAGAGTTTATTCACTGCTGCATTCCTCCAACCTCGTCGACCCGGATGACCTGAGAATATGGTACACACGCCCTGCCGAGAAGGCCGAGGTGGAGGGCGATGATGGAGATAACAAGATGGATGAGGACGAGGTCGAAGAGAAATCTGAGGGTGAAAGAGTTGTCATGGCTTACTGGGTTCTGTACATCGACATCTTCTTCATCTCGTTCGATGGCAACCCCTTCGACATTGCCTGGGCTGCTATCCTGGCCGCCCTTCGCGACACAACGATCCCCATCGCACGATGGGACGCAGACCGCGAGATGGTCGTCTGCTCCCGAGAGAGCCCCAAGCCCCTGACGTTGTACGGCTTCCCTATCGCCTGCACAGCTGGCGTCTTCACAGGAAAAGAGACAACGGATCGACCTGCTGCCGGCAAGTTCTGGACTCTGGTCGACCCGGACAGGTTGGAGGAGAGTCTATGCGATGAAGAGGTAACAGCAGTGGTGGACCGAAGCGAGGGAGAGACGAAGGTATTGGCGATATCAAAGCACGGAGGAACCGTACTGCAGCCGCAGCTCATACGGGAGTTTGTGGGCGTTGCAGAGCGGAGATGGGAGCAGTTTTACAAGGCCATGGCATGAAGATAATGATACCCACCAAAAGGAAGACATGAAAATCCAAAACGTTTGGGGAAAGGAAGCTGTTTCCTCTTATGTATCCTCAGGTTATGCTCTACCCGACCAAGGGCGGCAACCGATCCCCCCCTATCGTGAGCTTTGATGACCCAGCCGCCTTTCACTCACCAGCCGCCTTTGGTGCGGTCCGGGTGAAGATGAAGGCGCATACCTACTTGAGCCCATCAACTTCCATTATCTTTTCTCTGACACGACCTTCTGAAGCTGCTAAGCCTCTCTCTTCACATCACCTTGAAAAATCAGCATCACTTGAAAAAAATCAACATCACCACTTTCTGGGTATTTTGCTTCAGAAACGCCAAGCATCATCATCCAACAATGGCCAATCTTCATTCTCGAATCCAGGAGGCCTCGAAGGAGGAGCTCGCCCAGATCCTCAAGGCTGTCTGCAGCTTCACCGACACCCACTACCACGTCGAGAGCGTCCTCGACTACCTCGACGACAAGAAGCAGTCGGAGGCCGCCGCCGCCGCCAAGCGTCGCCTGTCTACCCGCCGCGCCTCCCTGTCCAACAAGAGCTGGGCCCAGCCTCTCCCCAAGACTGTGAAGCGCAACATCAAGATGTGCAAGCTGTGCGAGTTGCCCTTCGTCGAGAAGGAGAACACCAACGAGTCTTGCCTGTATCACTGGGGTAAGTTGCGATCCATCCGAGACGTTCCCTGTTCAATGTGGAGTGAAAGTTTGCTGACGAACTGCGTTCGA